CTCTCCTGCCTCCCGCCCCTCTTATGTAAGAGTCAGGCAGGTGGGTAGCTAGGGCCTGTGCCATGTGGGTCAGAGGTACCTGGGCCACACCTCACTGGCAGCCCTAGGGCAGCAGCTGGGGCGGGTCCTCACCCACGCCCAGCCCCTGTGTCTCATCACTTGGAAACCAGGACACCCGCAGTGACTGCTTCCCACACGCACAATGCTTTAGCTGTGGAAGCCAAGGGGATACTGAGTCCCGCGCCTGCCCGCCGCAAGAAGGAGGACGGGGAGGAGTCAGAGCCCGTTGGCAACCCCTCTGCTGTGAGTCCTCTCCAGGGGTCTGGGGGCTGGGAACAAGGTGGGCAGAGAGGTCAGGCGGTGCCTGCCAAGTGAGGAGAGGAGAGGGACATGGGGTCCATGTGTAGGGTGATGGTGAGGCCAACAATGGTACTGCTGCTTCTGGGGGACATACCCCACCCCCACCCCCGACACACACACAAACACTGTGCACAGGGACCGGCCAGTGTCGCCAGGAACCGGTGTTTGAAGGAGATGCTGCTTGGCTCTTCGGTTGAGGTTTTGAGAACTGGGGGAATTTCTTCACTGAGCACCCTTCTCCAGCACCCTGGAAGAAGGGTTGTCCTTTTGTCTGTTCCTGGAGCAGGGACGGGTGAGAACCAGACACAGTGTTGGAGCAGGGAGAGAGTCATGGCCACACAGCTTTGCCAAGCAGCAGTCCTGGAGCTGTGGCTTTTCGCTCACCTTGGGGGAGCCACGGCAGAGGGCCACCTCCTTTGTGTGTGGGTTGTTCTCCATACCAGAGTGGGTTGAGGAAGCAGTAGATGGCAGGCAGGTGCCCGGCCGGGGGCCATGAGTCACTCCCAGGATGGTCGGGGGGACTATAGTCGCCCCCCCACCCCACCCCAGTCTCGGTTGGGGCTATGGCCCTGACTCATGCTGTATCTCTGTTGCAGGGCACTCTGGTGCTGCTGTGCCTCTCGGGGTGATGCAGCTCTCCTGGGGGACGGTGGGACAGCACCTCTGAGTTCTCCTGGGTGAGCGCCCGGGGCCCAGCCATCCACAGGTACCATGCCAGAGGCACCGCTGCTCAGGTCTGCCAGCTCCATCCTGAGGACTGTGTAAGGCACCAGGACCCCACCCACCTCCCAACCCCAGCTCCCAGGGACAGCACCAGGGCTTGGCACCAAACTCAATCCTAGACCTGCGTGTGGGCTTTTTCATCTCACTTTTAGCCCCCTCCCTAATCTCTCCTTCTTCCCACTCCCTGAAGGACTCGTGAGAAAGAAAACAAAAACATCAAGCTCACTGCCCCGGTGTCGATGCCCACTCATGGTGCCCTGCAGGACAGGGTAGAACTGCTCCTGTGGATTTCTGAGACTGTAACTCTTTCCAGGAGCGGAAAGCCTCGTCTCTCTTCCAAGGGGCAGCTGGTGGTTTTGAACTGCTGACCTTGAGGTTCGGAGTCCAACGTGTAACCCCTATGCCAGCAGGCCTCCTCAAAAAGCCATGAAAGCCACCAGGAAGGGCGATGATGGCTAACTCTGTACTAAGCCGAGAAATCATCTCACCCCCACAGTAAACAGCCCTAAAACGCAGGCAGAAAGCAGAGGCTCAGAGAAGGAGAGCAACCTGCCCAAGGTCACACAGCTGGCAGCCAAACTCTGGTGAACCTGTGCTGTGTTGTTTCAAGAAAGCATTAGCTGAACACCTACTGCATGGCTGAGGGCAGACGGAGAAGAAAGGGCGACAAAAATAAATAGGAGATGGGTCCCTGTTTTTAAGGGACTCGGGGGCTAGATGCAGGCATCCCTTGACCTGTACTTATGTAGAAAACCTGATTGGGATCCAGTGCCTCCAGAACATTCAGAGAGAGAGGGCAGAGGTGAGTCAGGCATGGCCGCTGCTCTCAAGGGGCTTCACACACCATGTGCGGCCTCAAAGCCCGAGCCTGATGTCAGAGGGCCACCAGGGGAGAGGGGGTGTCGGGAGAAATCCAGGAGGGCTTCCTGGAGGGGCTCCATTTTCAAACTGATTCCCATCAGCTTCTCTGGGAAGATAGTGTTGCGGAAGGAGGACCAAACAGGTGAGGAAAGAGGGAGAGTGCAGACCCCCTAGATTCCTCCCCGCCCCCCACCTCACGCACAGATGAGTTTGCTCCCCTTGCTCCTAGTGGATGCTACAGGTGCTGATAGTGTGAGTGCAAGATGCTTGTCCTTACCAGGTGAGAGGGGGCCACCCCTTCAGCAGCCTCTGCCTCCTGAGAATCAGAGAGGGGCATGTCCCCGCCCTTATTGTCGTTCTATGATGTCAGGTGCCTTACACCTCTGGGACCAGAGCCAGCCTCTGGAATACTGGATCCCGGGAGAGTGGCGTTGTCTAGTGATAGGGACAATACAGTCTTCATCTCCACCAGGCCTGCCTTCGTCATGGTGACAGCAGCAGCACCTTACCTGTGGGCAGAGAGTAGGGTCTCCCACCCCAAACAGCAACAATCAGGTGATTTTCTAGGAAGAAAGCCACGCAGGTTCCCTTTGGGAAGCCACCTCCTCTGTTTGCACCTCCAGGTCTACCCAGCTTGGTGACCTCGGTTCTAAATACCCCCCTCTGAGAAGCGGCATGTTTAGGAGGGGGGTGAAGCGCAGCATGCTGACGGTGGCAAGAAGTGACCGCTGAGTGTGAAGGAGAGGGTTTGAAAATGCTGGACACCACATCCAGCGACAATGACAGAAGGGAAGCTCTGAGGGCAGCCACGCTGGGCAGAGGCGGGCGCCTCAGGTGTGACCCACCATAGTCTGTTGTTAAGCAGGCGTCATCCTGAGAGAGCAGGCTGGTTCAGGTCTTTGCTTCAGATGGGGAAGTGGGGCATCATCCCTTTAGCCTGTTGCGGGTGAGTGAATTTCAACTCGCAGAGACCGCAGGGGATGGAGCAGAACTGCACCCCCCACCCCCATCATCCTTACCGAAGCAGCCTTCCACATCGTTCTCCCAAGGGGTGAGTGCCGGCCGGCGCAGACCTTTCCATTAGCAGCCAATCTCAAAGACTCCGGCAAGTGTAGGGCCAAGCCTAGCGTCTTCAGCAAGCTGAGTTTCAGCCCAGCTTGACCTTCTTGTAATCAGATGCCCAACCCTTTTGAGACACAAGACACACAGAGTGGAAGGAGCCCTGCAGGGGGTGAGCTCTGGGGGTGGGTGAGGCAGGCATCCCTGTCACCCTGAGGACTGGCCTCAGGCTCTCTGAAAGGAGGAAGGAGGGC